AAATGAGTTCTAGAATGCTTGTCAAAAAATTGCTCCTGTTGCAACTCAATACCACCTTTTTTATGCTGTTCAAGTGCAGTCAAATTTGAACGTCTTATTGTATTTATGTGTCCTTGTGTGACACTTGTTTCTCTTTACACAGGATTTTAGCAAATTTGTATGTGTGTCATCATCAGTCAGTGAGACCCATAAAGCTGTCATCTATCAAATTATTGATGCTGAGGAGTTAGTCAACAATGTTCCCATGGTTACAGTGGAACCAATGGCTTGCCTCCTTCGATCAGAAGGTAAAAAAAAAAGAAAATTAAATTAAATCTTAATAATATATGAAAACTTTCTTCTCATAAGTAAAATTTACTGATAAGAAAACAGCATGATAAGACAGTGATTGATAGAACTGATGATACTGTTATCAAATCAATTGTAAAAACTCCACAATTCTGCTAAGATTTAAGAACACAATCTAGATTACTAGTGGGGTTATTAGATTACTAGTGGGGTTATTAGATTACTAGTGGGGTTAGTAGATTACTAGTGGGGTTATTAGATTACTAGTGGGGTTATTAGATTACTAGTGGGGTTGCTAGATAACTAGTGGGGTTACTAGATTGCTAGATATTTTTATATAAGATGGTATCAAAGGATATGAAGCTGTGATGGCTTATTTTGGGAGATATTCAGAAACGTATCGCATGTGTACGTTCGCTTGATTTAGATATTTTTGTATGCGCAATCTCGAAGSWAAATTCTCTGGACTCCGGCRGTAGAGTKKGCYTTGTAATTAGTCCACTGCACCGTGAAATATGATAAAAAGAAGTATCTTGATTTGAATTTACTGAAACATAATGGATACTAATTTTTTTTATTTCGCGGTTCAAGGGCGTTCCGCTATTTATACACTAAAAATGCAGATGTTTCACAGAATGTGAATGCTCATCATTGTTTTTTCTTTTTCAGTTCTACCTGATGATTATTGCCCTCCTGAGCTGTTTTCCTTTCAAAGTAAACATGGTAAATAGCTATTTAATATATTTACGTAACAGATAAAAAGGAATTTAAATCAGAGAGCCGCTACAGATTATCTGAATTGATTGAAGAAATTGTGGTCGCTAGCTGAATAAAATGAATAAAATGTAAACCTTTAATTTGTCATAAGACAGCAAATCGTTCGTATAAACAATTCTGCGATTGTCGCTGCGATCGAAAATTGCCGCGAGTTGTAGCTAAATTTCAAGGGCATGTTCGATACTCAGTCGATTGTCGCGATTTCAAAAATCGCAAGTGTAAACGGCCTTAAGCAAGAAATCACTTSACTCATTAACACACGATATAATGATGTGTCAGCGGCCAGACTATAGAAAATTTTATTTCATCGCTCGTTAATTCCTCTAATGACGATTTTTCGAGGATATCATTGTATCGAAATCACAATCAAATCTTAAACAGGAAGAACAAGAAAATTGTAGGGAATGTCGAAACGTGCTCCTTGTTCACATAGTGTAATCATAGTTAACTATGGTGTAATGATGTATGGTTTGCTCTTCTGTGGTTATGTATTTTATAAAAAAACAAGCAACAGTGTTTTATTAAAACCCGAGCGCAGCTTTAAAAACTCTAAAAAATCCCTCTAAAAAGGGATTCGAACGCTTGAGATTTTCGCAAAAGTGTTTTATTTGAGATAACTGCCGATCTGATCATGTGCGAACGACTTAATTACTAGACATGCTTGTTGATCCACATTGAATACGCATCAGGAAAAGTACTGAGAGTTTGAATTTTGATGCAAAAATGCATTTTTACATGTATCTAATTTTCTAATGCGGGTAAATATGTCATCATAGATGATTATAAAGATACTAATTCGTCGTAACAAACTCATACGAAATTCCGAAAGACCAATTGCATGTGAATCAGTTTTTAAAACTTTTAAGCATTCAACAAGGAGACTTAAAAACTTGCAGAAAGAAAAAAAAAAAAAAAAACGAAATCAGTAAAATACCGGAGTAACGTACAAATGCTAGGAAAATGTTCTGCGGCAATCACAAAGTAATTTGCTTGGCAGCTTTGCTTCATTCACATGTGATGTACTGGGAATTTAATCTACAAAATGAATTTGTTGTTTTGTGACAATATATTGTGTAACTATTTCTTAAATAAATGGTTCCAGGACACCAAGTGTATGGGCTCATTATAAAACCACTGAATTGTGAGCCTGGAGAAAAGTATCCYACAGTCCTTTATGTGTATGGTGGTCCACAAGTACAGGTAGATAAAGATGGTSATAAATTATTTAGGTACTAGCCCGACACAATGAATAAAGCAATTTGAAAGAATTTGCTCTTTTCACGCCGAAATCTTGAGACAAAGAGAAACTGTGGTTATTTCTTGATACCAGAATTTTTCGGACAGCTAATATTCGTTTTGCACTATTGACTTGGAAGAAGTAAGTCGCTAGTTTGAGTTGAAAAATCGAAAATGTGAAGAGTGAAAATTGAGTGAAAACTACCATGGAATCCCATGCTTCTTGTTGGTCATAGCTTTGATGATGTAATCTTTTGGAATCTTTTTTTTTCCAATGAAGTGTATCGACACAGCATATAAAAAGCCATTTTTGATTCTTTCATGAAAATAGCCTTTCCAGATTGACATGACAGAATTATCACTATTTGCAAAAATCGTCATTTTTCAAAGTACGTTGAAATAAATATCTACATGTAGTTACTGCTCATCAGTAGAGATTTATCTTTTCAGCTTGTAACAAACTCACACCAAGGTGTACGTTTCTTGAGGCTTCACACGCTTGCCATGCTGGGATATGTCGTGGTGTTGATTGATAGTCGAGGTTCAGCTCGAAGAGGTCTGCATTTTGAAGGGCACTTAAAAAATAGGATGGTATGACTTATATTTTATAGATAAAACTGAAATAGAAAATTAATTTAATGAAGTGAATGTATCTTTGGATGACTGGCAATCATCGATTTACACTTGCATCAAAAAATGTTGCACTAATTGAAAATTGTMAAAGGTAAAAAGAATAATACGAATTAAAATGGAACCTATACGCGATTTCACAAACTTAACAACTCTTTGTAAAAGCACAAAGCGATTGCAACGGATCCAAGTAGGACTCCAAAAGAACCTATTCACCATGACCATAGTAATTTAATCATCCAATTCAGGGGCAGATTGAAATAGAGGATCAAGTCGAGGGTTTGGAGTACATAGCAAAGACAAGCAATATGATTGACATGTCTAGAGTGGCCATTCATGGTTGGTCGTATGGTAGGTATAAAAGTTTCACTTTAATTTTGGTTGCATTTTTTTTTTCAAATAAATTATTACAACGTACAAAACTTTATCTAACGAAAAATAATTGTTATCTATTTTTAAATTGTTAAAAYGATTATTGGATGAGTTTTTTTGTGATATTCGCAAAAATGATGTAATACGAGATAGTTAGCCTGAGTTTCATCCAGCGTTTACTCGTTTTTTTTAAATTAGTATGTCATTATTATACAATATACACAGCAGTTTGCAACACCCAAGAACCCCCATTTCCTATTTGTTATAGTTAAATTTAAGAGAAAAGAAACTATAAAAARGTTTGAGCGTTATATCATTGAGGAAGAAAGTTGTATGATTTGCAAAGAGAATAAGCTTTTTTTCATTAACATTCTCTAAATTTAAACCGCGAATATCCGCACAAGACATTAATATCATTGCCATAATTTCAATTATCAAAATAAAAGAAAAATTAAGCTCCTTTAAACCAGACTATTAAAAATATTCAACACATGTGCTACATAGCGATTTTTCTATTTTGSGCATGCATCCAAGAGGGTGGCGCATAGCATTTTGGAGAATTTGAGTTGCCCTCTATAAAAATATCGCTAGATATAAATAATATCAATTTAAACTACAATCATGTATTCACATTTAATTAACTGTTTGATGTTGCTATTTGAAGATTTATATTTATTTTCTTGGTTAGAAATGAATCAAATGRCTTTTTTTCCAGGTGGATATGTTTCTTTGCTAGGTCTCATACAACGCCCAG